ATGGTAACGCTTTAAATCTTGAAGAAAAAATGCAGCTCGATAGTGTTTTTCAAAGTCACGCAGAAGCATTTGGGAATATCGATGAACCAACTCCGTATGCTGAGCATAAAATTGACACTGGCGACCACGAACCCATTTTCAGTCCGCCTTATCGTCTTTCCTTTGCGAAAATGAAAATGATCGAAAGCGGCATAATCGAGGAGTGTGAGTCCGCATGGGCATCTCCAGTAGTCATGGTTCCTAAGAAAGATGGCGGAATCCGTGTATGTGTTGATTACCGGAAACTAAATGCTGTCACTGTGCCTGATAGGTATCCCTTGCCTCGAATTGATGATCTGTTACACGCAGCTAAGAGTACAAAATTCATGACTACGTTGGACCTGCAAAGTGGATATTACCAAATCAAGATTCGTGAACACGATCGCGATAAAACGTGTCTTATCACACCGTTTGGTACATTTTTATTTAATAGAATGGCGTTTGGGTTGCGAAATGCACCGGCAACCTTTCAACGGCTTATAGATCGCTTTAAGGCAGCTGTTCCAAGCATAAAACTTTTGGCATATTTAGACGACCTCATTGTTTGTTCACCTTTTTTTATGCAACACCTTGCGGATCTCAATATCGTGTTAGAAAAACTACGTAAATTCAAGCTGAGGATCAACCATTCCAAGAGTAGGTTTTGCTGTGAGCGAGTCAAATACCTTGGCCATATTCTCACGCCAGAGGGTATTTTTGTGGATCCGGAAAAAACCAATGCGATCAGTCAGCGTAAGGAGCCTAAAAATATAAAGGAACTAATATCATTTATCCAAACCTGTTCATGGTATCGCCGATTTATTAAACAGTATGCAGAAATCTCCAAACCACTCACTGATCTAACGAAGAAGAACACAGTATGGATCTGGTCCGAAAAGCAGAGAGCTTCATTCAATCTTTTAAAGAGTATGTTGACATCAGCTCCGATTCTTAAGCAGGCTCAAGACAATATACCATATGTGGTGAAGACGGATGCTAGCGCGTATGCTATAGGTGCAGCCTTGCTCCAGGGGGAGGGAAACGATGAGCACCCAATTGAATATGCGAGTCGATTGTTAACAGCACCAGAGCAAAACTATTCTACGACCGAGCGGGAGGCCTTGGCCATAATATGGGTTTGTTCCAAGTTCCGAGGGTATATTGAGGGAGCTGATCATCAACCATTGAAATGGTTACTTTCACTTTGTACAGCAGTACAATTTCAAAGTCAAGTATACGCCTGGAAGAAGCAATTGCCTGGCTGACATGTTATCACGTCCACCGTGTCTGGCAGACGACCATACCAAATCACCAGCTTGCATTTGTGCTTTCCATGTGGACGTGCCTGGGCGTAGTATGGGAGAAATAAGGGGCGAACAAATGAAGGATGAGTATATAAGAACCATCATAACTTCATTGGAATCTCAAGACGACAACCTCATGCTTTGGACCAATAGAGGTTATATCCTAAACGACGGGATACTCTATTGCTATAACGCCGACACTGAAGACGCACAGCTTGTTGTACCATCCCACGAACGCAAGGCGATTCTCCAGAAGTACCACGACGACGATACCGCTGGCCATTATGGTGTAGAGCGTACTATTTTGCGAATAGCTAGTCGATACTATTGGCCGTGGATGCGCGGAGAAATCGGTAGGCACATTAAGACGTGCATTGAATATCAGCGGTACAAGGCAGCACCTGAAACCCATGGGTTTGCTACAAACAACGAGCAGCAAGAAGCGGTTTGAAGTGCTAGCAGTAGATCTTTTTGGGCCTCTACCACAATGGATACTGATAGCCGAAGATGTGGCCTCGCGTTGGACCGAAATCTTTCCTCTACATGAAGCAACTGCAGAAGTCTGCGCAAAGACGCTGATCGATGAAATGTTTCTACGGTATGGAATATATCGATGACTGAAGTCTGACAATGGTGTCCAATTCGTGTCAGCAGTTATGCAAAAGGTTGCTTATTGCATGGGAATTCAGCAGCAGTTTACGCCCGTCTACCACCCAGAAGCCAATCCAGTAGAACGCAGAAATCGAGATCTTAAAGCACAGCTCGCAATACTTGTTGGTAACGCGCATGCCATGTGGAGCCAGCACTTTCCTTCCATAAGATTCGCGATGAACACGGCCAGATGCCAAAGCACAAGCTTTACTCCAGCGTATCTAACCTTCGGGAGAGAACTGCGTACACTCGACGATGTTCAGCATGATGTCCGCGCGATTGTGGAAAGCGAAAACTGTCGCCAACAATTTGAAGACAGCAATAGAGGTTGAACAGCACTCTCAAGACAGAAATAAAGACTTTATCGACAAACAGAGACGTCCTCAAGCTGCGCTCGACATCGGTACAGAGGTACTGGTGACAACTCACACACTTAGTCAAGCAGCAAAAGGCGTTACAGCGAAATTCGTGCCGAAGAGGGATGGACCCTATGTCATCGTACGTAAAATTGGTTCATCCTCATACGAGATTGCGTCACAAGAAAATATTAATATCCCACTTGGCACTTACCATGCATCAGCTCTAACACTGTACAAGGGTACTAACGAGGACACAGCGCCAACTCCTGTTCAGCCTTTGAGGAAGCGGGGTCGTCCCAGGAAGGCCCGAAATCAGTAGATGTTGACATGCACTCGGGACGAGATTTACATGTCAAAAGGGGGAGATTGTAGCAGATTTATTATATGATTGCATTATTTTCTACTTTTCTATTAATCACTGTGTAAACATCTTGTTATTGTATAAAGCATTTTATGTAAGTTTAATCTGGCAATGATTTTATGTAAGTTTAGTCTGGCAATGCTTTCATATCTTTGACAGTTCGATATTGTAACGTATGTTTGTCCTTGTCTTGCATATTGCCAAAATTGCCAAAGCGTTGTAAGAAAATGCTATAAAAGCCGACACTTTGCTTAATATCGTTCATTTGTGTTCTGGCGATCAGGAGTAAGCAGACTTGCAGTG